AAAAACAAAGATGTATTTCCTTTACATATCTTATATTTTCCTTTAAATTACCAATTGGTAAAGCTATAATAAATTAGACCAAAGATACCTTAATTTCTTTTGCTTATATTATACATTTATAAACTGAAAAATAATATCTTATAATATACTTATATGCTTTTGTTTCATAATATATGACTAAAAACAATTCAATAAAATATCTTCAAAATGTAGCCCTTCAAAAATGTTTTCTAACTTCCCTTAAACTTTGTTTAAATATGATTTTTCCGAGTGCCTTGTTTGTGTGAATATTTGCCAGTGGGTTAAACGTGTGCACATCGACATCCGCATCAAATGGCCAAGCGACGTTTAGCAGTCGATAAAGTCATTCAGTGCAGCACGTGAATGCCGGCTAAGTTATGCATGTGTGCGTGTGTGTTGGCCTTTTGCCGTTTTGCCCCTCTTTTGGCTCATTTTACGCTTTTGTGATAAAGTAATCAGCTGATGCCGTCGGCCAAAGTCCAGAGAGCGATAGCCATCGATGGATGATGTCAACTGGGGGCCACGACACTGACCGTCGGTAACCGCAAAATGTTTATTGATTATTTGCGACACTCACACACACACACACACACACAATCGCTCAATCGGATGCGAATTGCATTTTATGCGGTTAAATATTGATGAAAATTGTATGCAAACTTTTCGAATTTATTTACCAAACAAATAGAAAGGACAAAAAATATGTGTAAAATAAATCAAGCCCGGAACCAGTCATGCCGAATTGGCCAAAACAAAACCGAATTCAGTAAATACCAAATCAAAATAGTTCGGCCAAAACAAATAGGGACATCAAACGAGGTTGGGCCGCCGCCCTCCAAAAAAGCTTCTCTCTGGACAGCTAGGCGTCTAGACGGGATTGCATTTCGGCCATGGCCAATAAAGCAAATGCGAACAACACTCGTCCTACACTAAAAATTAACAACGGCGACGACACGTTCTGGCCAAATCAAAAAAAAAAAAATGCCACAAAAATGGGAAAAAGTGAGAGGGCAAAAGGCATAAACCAAAAGACAGACAACTGACAGACGGCCAAATGGAATAAGAAATGGCAATGAAAGTAATAAAAGTCCCGAATGAAAGAACACGGGAAAAAAGGGTAGAGCGGGAAACGGTGTGGCCATGAATGAAAATCGGAAAATGCTAAGCAAACATACACACACAAAAAAGGCATAACTCTGTATGTGTGTGTGTGTGTGTGTGAACAGGTTGTGCAGTGAAATAAAAACGCAACAATGCGCAATCATCATTATCGTTAAAAGAGGCGCTTACAGAACTAGACAAATTGCCACTTTAGAGAGCCAGGATCCCGGACTGGACCAGGCCAAAAGCCAAAAGGCTCAAAGCGGCAACGACAACGGCAACAACATGAGCAACACTTGCAGATGCCACGGCGGCAACATGGCAACATCAAGAGCAACAAGAGCGGAAGTTGGCGGCCACATCGTGCCGAGCGGAGGACCAAGCAACCGTCTATAATGACCTCTGGGCAAATGGGCCAACACGCACACTCACACACACCGCACACACACACACACTGGCACCGACCCCGTATAAAAACCAAAATGGCGCACATTAGAGACCCTCGGCGCACAGAAGTATGCTACGCTTGGCCATTTCAGGCAATGTTGGCTAACCGAAAACGACCAAAGAGCAAAAGAGCAACAAGCCAGCTCACAAACAGAAAACAAAAAAAAAATAGAAACACGAACAAAAAAATAACACTCATAATCAACTGCCGTCGACTGAACAATGAATAGAATCAAACAAACCCAAATAGAAGCCGAGTTCAGCAGCCACATCAACACAAGAGCAAGTTCAAGGTTCGGCGTCTCATTGCTGGGCTTTTGTTTAGCCATCAGAATAGCATAGGCTGGCACTTTTTTTTTGGCCTTAATTATAGACACGCACACGAGCACACCCAACCACAAAAATGAAGGGAACAATTATGTTGGGTTCTGCACAGCAGCAACAGTCTAGCGCAGCAGAAACATGAACCTTAGATTTGTTGTAGTGCACGACAAAAAAATTTATAAAATCTCATTTTACCGCGGATAACAAGCCACTCTTGTGGGATAAAAAATAAATACATTTGTTCAAAAACTTAAAAATATTCTATAACGTGTTCCCATAATTATTTACAAGTTTAACATTACCATTGTCTTAATATTTCGGAAAGAAATAAAATTAAATTTTACAATAAAGCATTTGTATTTTAAATTTTTTAAAAGGAAAAAATATTTTTTAAGTTCTAGATTTAGTGATACTAGGATTACAAGATTTAAGTAAACTGTTAGGTTATTTTTTAAGACAAAAATAATTCGTTTTAATGATTCATTAAATATTTTAGGTTTTAGAATTGGATGTGCTATTTGCCAAGTGTTTAGAAAAGTGGAAACCATTAAAATGTTAAAAAAACGGTATGTTCAGTAAAAGGTTTTTTGCACATTTAGTTTTTAGATGAGGAGAAACATTCTTTCTCTGTACGGCTACTCGGTAATTTGCAGGCATCTAAATGCTTTTCAAGAGCTCTCATTAATAGGAGGGTTAGACCCTACCCCTATCCCTTTGACCCTTCTTAACAGCTCTGATTGCTGCTGCTACTGCTCATGCAATGGCGACAGCAATTATTGTTACAATTAAAAAACCATTAGGCGTAATTTGGTTACTTCTTGTAGCTCCTTTTTCTCGACCATGTTGTGTACGAGTATTTGTTTGATTTGGCCACACGACACTTCCGTTGGGAAGTCGGCGGAAAACGCAATGAAAACATTAATTTGCCGCCTAAGAATCAATAAGGAAAAGTGCGCAAAGAGAGCCAAGGATAACTAATCCCCTGGCTTAGGTATTTACCCTCGATTTCAAATATTCATGGTAATAACGCAGAAATTGCTTAATTCCATTTAATAAGCTGAAAATGTCTCTCTCTGCTGCAATTGATTGTGTACACACGGTGTGTAATTTACTGGCCCCTCGCTTTTACTTGGGGAATGTAACCAACTTTGAACTTAACTATTTATGAAATTGAACTTTGGTTCCCATTAGCGCATAATTTCCTCAGTCCCGGGCCCAAAGGGAAGTTCGAAACGATTGCTGAAAACGCTTTTCCTCTTTTATTTTCCTTTTTCGACTTTTTCCTTCAATTTTTTTTTGTGTTGTAACACACATGCAACATGCCACGAAGCAGAATGGCCGCAAAGTGATGGGCCTAGGCTGCCATTGATTGGCAGCTGTCTCACATGGCACCCGCTCCCCTAATCCCGACCACGCCCCCTTTTATGCCACCAGCTGAGTGTCAAAGGCGCTTAAACGCTTTGAGCATGCCGGCCACCTCTTTCTTCCCCGCTCCTTCTTATTTTTTGTTGGCCAAATTTTTCTGCCTTTTTTTTTTGCTCTGGCCAATCTTCTCAGGTTCTTTTGTGCCGCGCGAATGCGGAGCGAAACTGGCTGAAACGCTTTTTGTGCCTTTGCATTTAATACTCTAACTGTCTGCGGGAAAATGGCATCGCGTTTTTTGGGGCCCTTGTAATTAAAGTGCATTAAGCTGTTGTCTACTGCAGACTATTTCATGAATTTCTTTGGTCACCTGTAGCCAGGAAACCCCTGAGAATTTTCGCAATTGTTAAACGATTTTTACCCAAAAACCTATTATTTTTTTTTGGAAAACATAAGGAGAAAAATTCGTTCAAAAATTACAACGTATGAATAGTTTGTAAGCCCCTGCCCATAAATAATTTGTAATTAACACTAATGTTAAATACATTACAAACAATTATACAAAAATTAATATAATCTAAAGATTTTTTCTTCTTACAAACAAATCTTATGACTGTTAGTTAAATTGCCATAAGATTTGATACACTTATTGTTAGTATCCGAATGGAGAAGATTAAATAAATAAATAGCAAAGCAATTTCAAAAAAAAAAAATAATAAAATAATAATATTTTGTGCTTATTTGTTTATATAAAATCACCTTTTAAACAAATACATACAAGAAATCAAATATTAAACACGATTTTCCAGATCCTTAACCATTGTAATCATCTTAATGTTCTTATACAAACTTGTTCAAGTTGTAAACAAATTTATTTCAGTTATAATTATTTTTAATATTTTTTCACACGAACAAAAATAAACTTCGGTATGAAGTAGGTGCTGATCATGCCAAATACCTCACCATTCATAAAATCAACTGAACTTAATAGGTTTTTGCACATATTTAGCTTTTCCAACGCGTAAGCAAATATAAGGGCATTTAACTTGCGACTCGCTGCACTTTTTCTTAACCCTATGGTGCGGTTCTGGGCTCATAATCACCAAAAAACAGACAGAGGGTCGGAGTGCTTTTGAAGTTCTTACTGTTCGCATTGTTGTTGCTATCGGGCGGCCAAGGGGGGTATGCAGAGGAGTGGCAGAGGGGTGGCAATAGAGTGGGGTGCAGAGGGGGCAAGGGCATGCGAAACAACCTCGACATGCGATGCAATCGCCAGCGCTTTTTTCGACCACCTTTTGTGTCTTGGTAGCGTTTTTTTTCGGAGCCGCGAGTTGCAGGTCGCGAATTGCAAGTTGCGACCAGGTGGCTACTGTTACGGCCAAGATATTGCACACTTTGCTCAGAAAAAAGCGAGAGAATTCCGCTTAGAGCTGTTCTAAGTGGCAATAACAATTTGGCCGTTTGCATTTGCAATTTATGCGCTGAATGGGCCAAAGTTGGCTGCACAAATGCAAATGGCAACTGATGGCCAAAAATAACTCCTTTGTCTCCGTTTTTCTCTGCACTTTTTTTGTTGCCGCTTTAAGCCAGGAGAGAGAACGGGTTGCAAACAAGTTGGAATCAACTGGTCAGCGAGGGTAATGCAAAGTGAAACACGCTTGGCAGGTAGCGCTCAGGTGGGATTCTGATTGGATTCGGATTGGAGAACGTTGCACAGACTCCGCGTTCGAGATTTGTATATTCACCTCACTGGAAACTGAGTCCCCCGATGATGAGTCGTTGCACTTATCACCCAAGTTTCGGTTTATATTTATTCGTTTTTGTACTTGTTTCTTTCTTGGCACTGCTCACAACTATTCACGAGTTTTCAACTGGGCTTCTGGCTGCGCTTTTCCGCTTTTCCTCATTCCCGTTCACCATCCGCAAAGAATAACCGTTCGAGTCGCGATTTAAAGACAAACTGAACAAGCTGTCGCTGTTGCTTCGCGGCCGAAGTTTTCGCCCCATCTTCGGCTTTTGGCTCGGGCCCGCTCTCATTCGTTTCACTTGACATTCGCTTCAGGTCGGCAAAAACGAGTTTCAAGCTGGCAATGCCAAGCAAACTGTTACTGGGAACACATTCAGGACTTACCGGCTTTTTTAACAGTTTGTTTTGCTGTTGAGTTTACAGGTTTGCTCTGTGAGGACAGCCTACAAAATGTTAGGAGAAAAGTTAACTAAAAGGAAACACAAGTTATTTAACTTTTAGTTAGTTTAGTGTTTCCTTAAATTTTGTATTAAATAAATTATCTTATTAAAGAATATTAAGTTTATTTATTATATTTAATGCATACCAAATATAAAGAAGACTTCAAATTAACAAAAACAACTACTCTCGGAGAATAAAAATGGAAATGACCTAAAATTGAAGGACTAATTACCTAAAAAAGACGATTCATTTTATGAAAACTAGTTAATTTATATAGGAACTAGTTTGTTATTGCTAATGTTTAATTCTTTACTTGGACCTAATACATTTTTATCAGTGTACTTACCATCGTTTATGTCATCAGTTATGTTGTTTTGACAGCATTGATCCATTCAAGTAAACATATGCTATATTTATCCTTTTAAACGTGCATAAAATGTATTTTATGTAAATCACTATTCATTATATTAAAATCAATCAAATTTGTACACAATATGCATAGTACAAAGCTTAACCTCAACTGCACACCGTCTTAATTAGTTCAGGTTAATAATAGAAAATGTAAGCCCAAAAGGACATTTCTCTAACACATTTCTTGGCTTTTATAGAACTTTCACTTAATTGCCATAAATTAGAAGTGCCAATACGTGTTGCATTAAAATTTCAGATCTATTTGGTGAGCAGCCAATCAAGCGATTAACCACAGATTGCGCGGCGGGGGAGTAAAATCGCTTGGAATTAGGGCATGTGGAATAATTTATGCTCGAATTAATAATGGCACGTAGCCAATCATTTGAATGCGATTTAATTAATTTCCCATGCCGACCTTCACCTGGAAATGGGAACTCAGTAATGACAGGACTTAAGCCACTCGTTGGCCAAGATGAATATGCACTACTTACGACCGCTTGTATATCAATAAAATCAAATAAATATATCGTTTGAGGCCCGGGCCATCCACCTGAGATCCGCACGCATATAAATAACCAATGATGCGGCATTTATCTGCCCACCACTCCAACTCCTCCAGTTTCCCACTGCTGGCCATCAGTCTCGGCTTACGTTCCATTTAAAATGGTTTTGGGCCGCCGTGGGGGCCATTGAAACTAAAGACGAAGAAATTGTTCTTCCTCTGCACTGCGAAAAAAATCAGGAGTCATACTCTATATGGATTTTGGGGTAAAAAAGCCCAACAAATTACAGTTCTCCCAAAATCGTTTTTCTCTATGTTATATTTTTATTAAGTTTCATTGTTTAAATATTAAATATGCTTTCGCTATTATCAAAATTATGTGAATGTACTATTTACAATGGAAATCATATTTTTTAAATTAATTATTTGGAAAAAACTACTAGGAAATTTTTTTATACCCTTGCAGAGGGTATTATAATTTCAGTCAAAAGTTTGCAACGCAGTGAAGAAGACATTTCCGACCCTATAAAGTATATATATTCTTGATCAGCATCACCATGAGAGTCGATTTAGCCATGTCCGTCTGTCCGTCCGTCTGTCCGTCTGTCCGTCCGTCCGTCCGTTTCTACGCAAACTAGTCCCTCAGTTTAAAAGCTATCTGCTTGAAACTTTCCCAAAAGTTGTCTTTATATTGCAGGTAGTATATAAGTCGGAACGAGCTGGATCGGGCGACTATATCATATAGCTGCCATATAACTGAACGATCGGAAATGCCATAACTTTGGTGTTTTAAAAGTTAGAAAGTTGGTTTTTATGGGTTTTATATTTGGCCACTGAATCCGACATACCAAATTTCATAAGGATCGGCCGACTATATCCTATAGCCGCCATATAACTGATTGATCGGAAATGCCATAACTTTAGTGTTTGTAAATCACTTCTTATCAATTATGGTTTGTTATGGTTTCTTTTTCGCTTTTATAAAAACCGCGCCATGTGCGTATAGATTTCTTATCATGATTTTAATTTGACATACAAATAAACCAGATGTTGGCTAAACAAATCTTATTCTGCCCAAATATTCCATAAATTTAATCTCTAATTTTTTATGGAAGCGAAAAGAAACCATATGGTTAATTTTTATGTCAAACTACAATCAAATTGGATAACAAGTATTTCCAGTAAAATAAAATAATTTTATAGATTCTGCGCGCTTGGCTGAGCAAAAGTCTTTTAAAATAGCATTCTTTACAAATATAGGTTTGCCCCCAGTTTATGTTAAAAATGCCTGTTTTAAGCGGTTTTTTTTTATTCTTACTTGTTAGGAGATGGGCAAACATGGTCATATTTGCAGGCAAATACGTTAAAAAAAAATTGGAAAAAGTCAACTTTAATGTTTTCGAAAAAGTTCAAAAATTTTCAAAAAGTCCATATTTTCAAAACTAAACCTTGGAAAAAAAAAAAAGGGCAAAAATGGGCCAATGATTAAGCTATTCAAATTTCAAAAATTCGATTTAAGTCGACCAAACTTCTTTGAGCTAATTGTTTTGTAATAACTGCAAGGGTATATAAACTTTGGCTTGCCGAAGTTTGCTTCCTTTCTTGTTTAATGTGAATCAACATTTAAAAGCGTTGTGCTCAAAAGTTAAGCCAGAAAAGCAGATCAATCTAAAAAGATTAAGATTATCTTAAAGATTTTATATAAAGATAATCAAAGTAATAAAAATACAAAAATATAATTTTCAAATTTATACGTGTATGTAATTATTTTTCGCAGTGTTTCTCCGCCATTGTTCTGAGGGAGTTGGCAGGATTCCTTCCGAGCCAAACTTGGGGCTAAAAGGGATAAACGTTTTTAGCATGGCCTGCACGATTTTTATGCAGGGTACGTGTTGTTGCTGCCCCCTCAGTCCGTTGCCCCTTTTGGCTCAGAGGCTCTTGGCCATGTCCGTGCGACTGTTTCGCGTCATTTGCTCTCTGCTGGATCGTAATTTTATGGCTGCCAGCAGCTTCTTGGGTCTCCTATTGCGGGGAAAGCGGCGAAAGGGGGGGCGGCTGAAGGCATAGCAGGCAGTCAAAGCAAACGGAAGTAAACTGAAGCCAAAATTTCTCCTTTTTATTTGACGAAGCGTTCAGTTCCCAGAGCATTCCTCCAGAAGTTGTCAAAACAAAGCGAGCGAAACTAACAATAAGTGAGTGGAGTGGAGTGAAATGAAGGGGTGGAGAGGTGAAGGGGAAGATGGAGGCCAAGGTAGGGTAACAATGGGCCAACTGCATCACCTGGCATCGGACCAAACAACAGGCGGAGCCGAGAATATCGCTTACCGACTCGTTTGGCAATTTTTCTCAATTTTCACATTGAAAACTAAGCGCCGCAGCTCCGAAACAGCCGCCCCTCAATAGTATCATCCGCCCCCAGCCAACCCCTTTAAGCCCCCTCTCTTCGACTTGATATTTGGGCTTCCAATTTGAGTGGGGCTCGGGGATGGGGTGGCGGGGGGTGGCCAAGGGGTGGGGCGCCCAGAGGGAGGTGTCAGCGGCACAAAGCCAACTGGATTTCCGGAGGCCATCTCGGGTTCGCTGGGCACTGCTAAAATGGGAGTGGAAGCTTGGACATTTAAACCACTCATTTTGTTTCTAAGATATATGTATATAAAAGAAATAAAAAAAATAAAACAACTATTTTGTAAAATTTCTATAAGCTTTAGTTTATTATCTCCACCTAAAATTTTCATTGGGATACAAAATATTAGAAAGAAGTGCACAAGTGTAGAATTCAGTTTTGTTTATAATCGATTATCATTTTAAGGACTTATACAGTTTTATAATTAAACAAACTTAGTATATTTTTCACTTTACACCCTATTTAACAAAACAAAATTAATATGGAAAATTTATTTTGATTTTTAAAAACTGTTTAATTTTAATTTACATTTTAAGATAATTTAAAGATTTATTTTAATACAACTATAGAGAGAAAGGCTAAAGTCCAAAGTCAAATTAACCAAACTCTCAAAAAAAGCATGTTTAGCTTAAAACTTAGTTTTCTTAAAATAAAACCTTTTGTAATCGTATTTTCCCCAAGTGTAGTTATAGTATCCACCTCTATCTTGGGGCTGCTGGCCATGTTGCTGTTGCACGATTGCTCTTTGGTGATTTGGATTCCCAACTCACACACACGGCGAAACAAAGCACAAATTGTTGTATGTAATTGTGCGTTGGCACACACCCAAACACACACACACAATCACACACTCGCTCACACAACAAGAACAACAACAGCTAGTGGAACAGCCACACGAGCTCACCTGCCGCTGCGTGCGCCGAATTCCATTGCATACTTGGCGGCGCCTGCTCCAGCATTCCTCCCCCTGCCACGCCCACTGCTGCAGGGAAACCACCATGCCCCCCTTACCACCTCCCTCCTCAAACTACGACCCTGTGCAAATAAAAAGTGATATACGCGCGACACTGAATGAATATTAATCGCCTTCTTTTTGCAGCTCCCATTCTGGTGAGAAAACCTTTCTGGCTTCCCGGCCTTTTGTTTGGACCATCTGGCTGGCTGATTTGGCAGCTTAAATGATTTCCGCTTCGACTTCACTGCGTGCGGAATTCACGGAAATTTATTAGTTAAGTCTAGCTGATTGTTCCTGGAATAACTCTGCTTCCCTTGATTTTCCGTCTGGTTTTCATTTCCCTTTTTTTCGGGAATTCACACTCTTTTTTTGTGAGTAGGCGTGGTCGCTTTTTTCATACCAAAGCACTTAGTCGAAACATTGGAAAAATAAAAATAAAGTAAGGCCTGGCGTTACTCATTATCTACACTTAGGGAAAAACTGTATAAAGTGTTTTGAATAATCCTAGCACTTTTTAAAAGTCATAAAATACACTTTTGATACATCTTCATAGGACATCAAAAAAACATATTAATTGAGAACTAAAAAAAGGGCAAATTTGAGTTTACTCTACTTTTTATTTTAAAAACTTTTGGCAGTAAAGAAAATCCCCATTTTTATGAGTGAAAAAGCCCCTCGAGCCACAACTTGTCATGAGGGTTAACACCTTCCCTGTTTTTCAGCCTCCCCCGTGTACTTGGCACCTTTGAAAGGCTTCACTGTACAACCCAAAAAAATAAAAAAAATCATCACAAGTTTCGGGCAATTCAATTTGGGCCCTCGGTGGATTCAAAGTTTGTTTGGCAATTCTTTGTGCCGAGGTGTTTTATTTTTAATGAATTTTTCGCATTAAATTTCGCAACAATGAATCGCTTTGTGTCGAGGGGTTCGATGTCACCAAGGTGTTTGCATCGCTTGACACCTCGTCTGGTCGAATGACCCCCCTCCCCCATATCACCATAGTCTTAAAGCCCCCTCCCCCCCTGGATTCCCTGAGTCTGTCAGGTATTTCCGCAAACATGTTTGCATGTTTTGCCACACAGAATTTATAGTTAATTTTCAATTTTGTTCAACAAGCTGCACAGACACTAACGCTCACAGGCTCACATAGATTTGAATGAATGGATTCCATTTTGCCGCCATGCCAGGTGGAAGGGGCGTGGCTGAAGAGGGGTTGAAAGGGGGCAGGAGGCAGGCACCCTGTGTCAAAGGCAAACTTTGCAGACAACAAAAGCCCGTCACAGACTGGGAAGGAAGATGCAGGATCTGTGGGCAAGGATCTGGCGACAAAGGAGCACAAGGGGAAGTTCAAACTTTACGCTCTCCATTCTAATTGCCAGTGCTACACCCCTTCGGTAGGTGTCACAGGCTACGCCCATGCGGCTTTTGATTCTCTGTGGTTGTGCGTCTGAAAAAAGACAACTAAATAATAAAAAAAAAAGGCAAAAACTCAGACACACTCGCAACGAAACTAATCTGGTAGTGAACCCGAACATGACACACTCACTGGGAAAAAGCATCGTTACTCAACAGGAATGTGATAAAAGCGATTATGCTGTTTTTAATAAAAATATTTACCCTTTTTTAGAGGATTTGATATTTTGTGGACCTGTTATACTATGTTGAAAAGGTATAAAGAATTATCAGTGTTTGTGGGCTTTCGCTTTTTATCTTTAAATCTTGCTGTGGAATTTAATTTAATTAAAGAACAAATTGATAATACTTCCATATCATATGGACATGATTAAACTATTTTGCTGTACTTTTATTTATTAATATGGGACAAGACTATTTTTTTTTAGGCATTAAATTATTACAAATAATTAGCTTAAGTTAAAAAGGTTAACTTTAACTCTAGAATTTCAGTTGGTTTTTTTAGAAATTGGTTGTTAATTTGATCTGCACATTCCGTTTAGAGACTAATGAGGAATTTTAATCTAATGCTTATACTAATTAAATGTATTTTAATAAAATGTGTGTTTTGTTGATTCTTTCAAATATTGACAAAACTTATACTACATTCTTAGTATTGAGTAAATAATATAAAATAACTTAATTTTCCCCCGTGCAGACAGATCCCTATACACCAGCATATACATAGAAAAGCAATTTGTTTGCGGCTCTCACTATTGTTGCATGATTATTGTTTGTTTGGATGCGTCTGCGTCTCCCAACCGAATCGCGGCTCGAGTCGCTCCCCGGAATTTTCCCCATTTCCCGCCACTTTTCCCCACCATCTTTGTCACACTTTTTTTGCAGCAGCCCCTGTGTGTGTGCGAGTCTGTCCTTGCGGTGTATTTAACCTGTCTGCTTGTTGGATTACGACAACCAGTCCACAGACAGACGGAAAGGGGGAAGAAAGGAGGGGGGGCAAACAAAACAGGCAACAAAACATGTATCTATTCATACGCCACTTTGTGCCAAAGGGGGTGGTAAAAAAAAAGGGTGAGAGGGGGTGGTTGGGAGGGGTGCAGGTCTGGTAATGCAATACGCATGCAACGATACCGCAAAGGCCCCAGAAGAGACCCACAAACAGACCCACACACCCGTCGCTTCCACTGGGTTAGCAGACATTTTAACGCTTATTTTACTTTTGGCTACAAAAGCACACTTACACCCCCAAGCAAACACACACACCGACCGCAATGTTCACACTTATTTGCCTTTACACTCAGCTCAATAAAAACGCACATCAATTCCCCGTTTCCAACGACTCGATTATGGAGTTTTGCCGAATGGATTGACCATACATTTGGAGAAAGTCCTGGAAGACATCATACACGAAATAGGACCAAAAGGCTAAAAAAATGGAAAAAAAATTGCATAAGTTAAGTAAGTTATTGGGAGACAGTTCGAATAACCACCTGAGATAATTTGAAGTAAGGGGATCACCGTCAGCATTTTGCCTTCCAGAAAAATAAAATAGACGAAGGACTTGTACCAGAGTGTGTAAATAAAGATGATGGCAGCCACCAGCCACGGCAAAAATAGCAAGTGATTATTCTGCACCGAAAAGTAAAGAAAGAACTTAAATAAATTGTTTCAAAAATCGGCTTGTAATTCACCGATGTATAAATATAAATATGACTGTTTCAGCTTCTTTGTTTTTTTAACTCTGATTAGGTTACTACAGTAAGAGGAATTATACTTTATATGAGTGATTATTTTTCCAATGTATATACATCTCATTTTTACCGACTTGTAACACAATTTGTTTATTTAACCAATAGTTTTAAGCAATACAATTTTGCTTACCTTTAGGGCTCCAATGAAGAGGAACATTCCACCAGCGATCTGCAGCAGACAAACGTGTTTCCAAACACTTATTTCCCAGCATTTATATGTCTCCACCCACGTAGTAATTGGACCCAAAATGAGAAAAGAAACAATCGCGGAAAGACCAGCGATGGCAATGTGCACATGTTTAGCTTTTAGCGATCGGAACATTTTCTTCAATCGATCAGAACACTTCGAACAATCCACAACAACTGAACAGAGCTTATGTTTCAGCGCTCCCCGAGCTGAAAGCCCTTATCAATAAGCTTACTCAATGTAAATATACATTCCAAACAAGAACTGGAGTGTCTTTAGGAAACCGAAACATACATACTCTTTCAGATGCAACTCAAATTATAAATTATAGATTATATTTCAGCGTTCTATATATGTACACATAAAAACGAATGTTGAAAAACTTTTTTTCAATGACTTCTAAGGGAGGAAATAATTTTTACAAAATTGGAACACCCACAGTAAGGGTATAACAAGATTATACATCGTTATTTTGTTTGCGAAAAAATTTCTGATAACGCGTATATTATAACGCGAATATTTTTACCAATTCTTTGGGGTTGAAAAACTCAATATCGGTTAAATTGATGATTGGATGATTTCCTTTAGACGTAATTTATTAATTAAAAGTTTATTATTCGCTCCTAAGCTAATGACTGTGTTTATTAGTCATTATAGTTTGATTAACTAATCAATTTTTTCAAACTGTAAATTATACTATAAGCCTGACAAAATTAGAGATTGTTGTTGATTGTCGATTTCATTAGAAATATTTCTTTCAATAATGTTTATTTCTGTGAATATTTTTTCGGGTAATTGATTGAAATAATTTATTAAATTTATAATAAAAGGGGCAGTTCTTAAAACCTTTGTTTCCTGGTGATACCGAAAAATGCCAACGGGGAACTTTAACAAAACTGGAGGTTATGGAGCATGGGCAGCGATGAATGTTCGCCTTAAGTAGCTAGAGCTTTTCGCGTAAATTAGCCAAGTGTAGACTTCATTAAGTTGGGCCAGTAAATTAAGTGCTAATGTCGAAAGTTTTGACCGACAAAGTGCGCAATGAAATGCTGTAGTAGTTGTTGCTGCTATCCGAACTGTTGTGCTTGATATTTTTGCGCCACTCTTGCGGCGGAAAAAGCCAGGGGCAATAGAAAAGCAAAGGCAGGAGTAAAGCAGCTTCATCCGCATCCATGTCCCTATCCCCAGAAACCGCAACAACAACAATAACATCAGGATAAATTCTTAGAATCGAATTTTGGAACACCCTATACAACAATATTTAATAATTTCATTTGGTCATAAAGCAAGATTTAAGAAAATAAATACATCCAAATTGTTTTCGTTTTAAGTTGCATTGCAATTTAAAATAAACAACGTTTACCCATGTAAGATTGCAAAACTGGCAAGTGAGAAAATACAAATATCCATTTTGTCTAGATACACTTGTAAGTAAGTCATAAATGGAATAAATAAATAAGTAAATAAATGTTTAATTGGCTTAATATGGATTTGTTCAATTTTTAGACTTTATTACTCCTTTTGCAAATGCCTTGAAAAGCTATTAGTTGCATGTATTATGTATTATTATATTTTATTACAATTCTGTACTATTTAATATTCCAATGATGAAATATACACCCTTTGCCAGGGTATAAAAACATGGAGAAGAGGAGCAGACGTGTAAAGGACGCTAAATTGATGATGTAGACCGGCGAACGAAAATTGCACTCACTTTCCCCGTTAACCTCTGCCTCCCAACCACCCCCTCCCCTCAAAAAAAAGGGGCAGCTGCCACCCCCTCAACCCCCTTTTCCCACCCACCTTAATGCCTGCGTGAGGCAAAAACAGTCTGCAAATTTTTAATGCTTTAATCTTGATGCTAATAAATCTTGAAGTTCCCTGGCACTTTTACATTACTTTCAGGCGAAAAGGGTTTGCGAAGAGAGGCGGTGGCAAATACAATTAGACAGCTGCACGCTTAACGTTCTTAGTTTAAGCCAATTTGAATGCACTTTAGCCCCCTGTTGGCCCCCTTTAGCAACCCCTCCCCCCTCCTGGGGTAATTGCAAGTGACACTTGAGGCGAGTGCCTTGCTGACATCGCCTCTAATCGAATTTCAAGCTGTTCGGTGCGTGTGGTGGCCTGTCCATTGATTAACCCTACCAGAATTCCCGGGGATCGGGGGTATCCATCAGGGGGGGGGCTGTGGGGGGAAAACTTCGGGTATAATTTCCCAGGCAAAAGTTGGCCACAATGTCATCAGCGGCACTTGCCAGTTGACGGTTTTGCGGTGAAGAAGGGAATGGGGTTGCGATGGGATGGGATGGGTTGCCTGTGACACACAACTGTCAGAATGGCGTGTGACAAATTTTCGTTATTAGAAGAGGGCAAACCTCGTTTTATTAACTTGAAATTTATGACCAGCCATTTGGCAAGACAAATTAATCAAAAGCCAACGCTGCCTCGCTTTTATTTCCGTGTACATAAATTTGTATTTAAAAATGAGTTAGACGCGGAGCTTTTGGCTCAATTTCACGCCATCTCGTCTCTCAGATTCTTCAACCCACCTGCCAAAAGCCAAATGGATGCCATTTCTCTTCGCCCTTCCAGACTTTTCTTATTATGTACGAATTTGTCATTTCCTCCAGCTGAAATGCAATTTAAATGCTGCCGGGTAGCGAAAAGGAATTTTAATGTTCTCCTTTTTAATGGGGGAGACGTTAAAGCGTTGGCGAGTAAAACAAACTTGATGTCTTCGGTGGATGCCCCTCATCAACTCTCTGAATTGTCCAGTGGAAGCAGCATATGTTGACCACTCAGTTGGGCTTCTCTTTATGAGGTGGACACCCACATCCACTTTATAGTACAAAAAGCAGAGAAAAAAGTGCAAAAATATGTTGCACATAAATTCGTATTAAGTTTGGCCCGCTGTCACTTTTTCTTCGGCCGCCTAAGCAATGCGGGCAGACAGCATAACGACATAATCATAAATTTAAATATGCAACCCATAGTGCCTGCCCCTCCGCCCTTTACATCTGTGCCAAAAAAAAAAGAAAAAAAAGAAGAGGAAAAGCGGCTGAGTAGAAAAAACGCAGGGGAAAACCTTGGCAGTGACAGTTTCACTTTGCCTGGCATAAGGAATTTCCCCGGCTTGCCAGCTACACATGTTGCCCCAGCTTTATGCGTCTTAAATGGAGTTGTTTTCCAGCCGAAGAGATGGAAATCGGAGAATGGGAACACGGAAGTGCTCCACTCCAGTGGGAAAAAATCTTTATTACCCAACCTGGAATCAGATTAAAACGAACACTTGGGGTTCAAGTGCCATCCCTAATGTCTAACTGTCTGCCCAAAAAAGTATAACCAATCACACTCTCAAACATATGCAAATTTATTAAAACCAATCTTACCCTAAAATGGTACTTTTATTTATTTTAAGAATTATAAATCAAACCCCAACCCCAGAAGTTTTCGTAAAAATAATTATATTACACTGAAAAAAAAGGTCTTTAAGGTAACACCAATTTTTCCCAACAAGAAAGAAAACAAACTTCAGCAAGCCGAATTCAAACCAAGACTTAAAAGCAAAATTTTCGTGAATTAAACAACAAATATTTTAAAGTACATATCCCGCTGTAAAATAGGATGTCTGTAAGAAATGTTATGGTCTTAGAAGAGAAGGTTTTAGATAATTTTTCTGCAAAGCAATTTTTCGAAAATTATATGATAAAAATGACAAAATACCGACCGAAAAATACAAACCAAGCTAAAAACACAGATGTTTAGGGAATTAAACCACAATCATTTAGAGATATGCCTTGTTAAAATCCGATGACTGGAAGAAAAGTTAAGGGCTTAGAAGTGCAGGTTTTAGGCCACTTTTCTGCAAAGCCATTTTCCGAAAATTTGGAAAGGGGTAACACTGTAAAAATGACAAAAATCGACCCAAAATTACAAACCAAGCTGAGTATACAGATTTTTAGGTAATTAAACCACAATCATTTAGAGATATGCCATTTTAAAATCCGATGTCTGTAAGAAAAGTTATGGGCTTAGAAGTGCAGGTTTTAGGCCACTTTTCTGCAAAGCCATTTTTCGAAAATTTGGAAACGGTAACATAAATAAAATTTTGCGGTGAGTTTTTGTATCGTTCCTCAGGAATATGATATATATAAGGAAAAAATGTATGTTATATAAAATAAAATTTTGCGGTGAGTTTTTGTATCGTTCCTCAGGAATATAAGGAAAAAATGTATGTTATATTGGCCCGATTCGATATAATATATGAAAGGTAGCAGCAGAAAGAAGCCTTTCTGCAAAGTTTTACCCAAATCATCTATTATATTATTCCAGATTAAGAAAGCCTTAGAAAAATCTTAATTAAATATATAATCAGCAGCCAAGTTGACAATCCAAACCCGAATATCTTGAGTTATGGTCACCATTGGCACCATTACTATATTCCCTGTTCAATCAAGTAATTTCATGTGATTTACCAAAGAAAAATGCTCGGAAAAGTTAAGGAAATCCAACACCTGGTCACCCTTTTCACCCCTTTTTCCCCTCGACAATCCCAGGACCCCCATCATCATACCATGGCCCCAAAATCTGACGCAAACATTTTCGAGTAATCCGAGTGAGAAGGAGCGAGGCAGAAATGACAAATAAAATGTTTCGCAAAGCAAACTATGGGCCAACAATGGATTTGGGACTGCAGAGGGAAACGGGAAGGGGGAAGGAGGTGGCCCCAAAGGAGCGACATTAGTTTATTAGAGTGTGCGAGAAGCTTTAATGCCCGAATCCTAAACAAGAGATAAGATGAGAGCTGGAGAATCCTTGGCAGAAAGGACATGGCAAATGCATGTTATTGTGTGTGCTTAAAAATGAGAGGGAAATCTACTTAAATGGTGAAAAGTTGCGGACATGGAAGGTGCTTCCGGATCAAGGATATACGCAAATAATGTTTGTAAACAATTTTTATTGCTTTCTGGTTGAGATGCGGCCCGCATTTGCTTACAAAAGTAAAAGTTGTTGATAGAAATCACAGAACATAAACAGAGAGATGCCAGCAAAAGATAGAGATACAGAGATCGGGGTGTGTACAGTGTACACAATAACATAAATTGCAGAATGTGACAAAGGGTTGCCCTTTGGCCCCCCCACTCAACCCTCCAAATTG